TTTACGTTGTGTCTTCCTGTTGCGATGACCCATTATTTGGACCTGTGGCATTTAAAAACGGTTAAAACAGCAATCTTTATTACCTAGTGATGGCAATTGATGGCGTTGGTCGCGTTTGATGGCGTCGTGATTACACTTGCTGGCTTGCGCCTGCGCATAAAAAATCTCGGACACAATTTTGGCTGAGTGAGGCTTCTGATCTATTTTCTATTCTGTGATACTGGCCAAGTGTTTCCTGATGAATTAGTATGGACATTCAATAAGTTTTTTTTAGAAAAAAAGTTATATTTCGGTATTTTGAAAAGTGAACTTTGTTGCATCATTTGGAATAAATACAACAGCTGCAGGTATTGTTTACGAGCTAATTATAGCCTATTCAATCAAGTTTGTCAACTGTTCAGTATAAATATAGCATCAGTGTTTATATTGGTAAAATTTAATACTGTTTACGATAGTTTTTCACGCTGGAAAGCGGTTTTTTGCCTGTCCTACTTTTTGCACTGTTGTGACAGAGTAACTAAAATTGATTGAGTTCTTACTGCTTTTAAGTGCTTTTATTTTTCTATTTTCCCACGTACGTTTTCCTGATTTTAAACAGTTGTTAATATAACTTCAGTTTAGTTTGTTCTAAAATATTCTTTTTGGTGAAGATTACTAGCGGTATTGAAGTGGTTATTAACAATGCTTGCAGTTTTGTTGATTTGTTTATGGCGACCGAAAGTATTTGTCGAAAATCAACTCGTCTAAAATTTAGCGAAATACAAGAAAAACAACCTTGTCAATGGAAAAACTTTAGCTAGTATTATTAAACAATACATGGGGAACAAAATAGGATGATTTTTATTATGCATAGTCTCATATTTTTTTCAAAAGAAGTAAAAATCTGTGACGTTCTAGAGAGGACGTGACGATAGTTGGCGCCGATATGCTGACGATAGTTGGCGCCAAATGACGACATCCACGTCCTCTTGACGTCCGCGTCTTGTCATCTAAAACCGTCTATTGTAGTATAGAGAAGTGGTTTGAAGGACGAAGGACAGTTGTGAAGCCAATCCTTTTCGTGAAAGGACATGAATATGTTAGAAAACGGCAATGTCCTAAGGGACTACCCATAGCTACGCCGTCAACTGGATGATATAAACGACCATTGAACATGAAATGACAATTTTTGACAGAAAGGCTTAAGAGTTTAGTCAAATCAGAGCGAGTGAGGCCATGAAACCTACAACAGTTAGAAAACAAACGATTATTATTTTTCACCCTGCTCGGTTTCCTTTGTTCTTATAGGGGAATATATTCAATATGGGATCCCCTCTAATCAATTTCCGTTTAATAATCCCCTCTAATATCCACCTGCAATTAATAATCCCCTCTAGTATTCACCTGCAATGTCTTTGCAGCACAAAAAATGTGAAAAAAACCCAACATGACGAAGGCAATATGGCATTAAAAATTATTTCTATTCTGACTCATTAACGCGACCTCGCAGTGTGAAAAATAAGTACGTTATTTTGAGGCACCTCGGGGATATGTGTTTATTAAATATGCCTCAAAATAACCAATACGTAATTATCTCAATCGTTTTGTCAACAGGGATGTTAGGCCCCGATTACACTATACCGGATTGCATCGAAGCGACGCGATTTCTGTACCGGATTGGCCTCTTGTTTACACTACGCCACTGTAATCCGGTACGTGCCGCGGCGCGAAAATCACTTCGCTTTGGAGGTGATATGAAAAGTAATCCGGTACGTGCTGTACCGGATAAAACCAAGTGTAATCAGGCAATCCGGTACGCTCCGGTACTATAAATAGGTTTCGGCAAGTATATTTTAACATTGTCGTTTTATTTACTCGCTTTTAAATATTTTATAGCTGTTGTTTGCTTCCCTTTACAATTATTTATTATTTCTAGCGAAGACAAATAAAGATAGCGGTAATAACATTGACTTCTTGCTTTCAAAAGGGCAAAATTTAATGAAATACTCGTCAATTTTTTATAAGAGCGAGACAAAGCAACGTCGGGTGGTCAAGCTTTGTAAACAAAGTTATAATTCACAAGTACTGTCGAGAAAACGTCCAAAATGATCAAAACTTATTATTTGTTTCCGTGGCAACGATAAAAGATACGAGCTGGCGACAGAGCGAAGCGGCATAGTGTAAACACCCTTGATTTTGGCTTCGGTGTGAAAATTGATCCGGTATGAAAATCAATCCGGTATAGTGTAATCCCAGCCTTAGTAAAGAGTGAAGTAACATCAAAACTAGCCATTATATAACATTACTCGTATCAAGATCAGAAGAAAGAAGTTCCTGGACGAAAAGAAAGAATTCTTAATGATATAAGTGCTGGTCGAGATGGGAGTGAGAAGAGGAATAAAGAATTTAGCAATATTATACGAATAATGATTTATGCAAGAAAGGATAGGCCTAAGTGGGATATTACATTTATGTGTTTTAGGTAGTCCATACAGAATGCCTATAAGCGTGAACCTGTAGGAAAGTTTTTTGATCAATTGATTCAGACGCTTTCAAATTTTTCAGCAGAGTCTTGACATGATGTTCGCGCTGTAGTGTTGCTTTGACAGGATCTTCATTCAAGAGTTCAAATTTCGTGTTATCAGACAGAATTTCGTCCATTTTCTTGTTGTAGTCATCTTTGTTTAGGATAACAACCAACAGTTCAAAAGTTTTTAAATATTTTTTGGCTTTATTTATTTCATGAACTATTATATTTTCACTTCATGGTGTTTTCATTCGGATATTTTAAACATTTTCGTCAAAATATCCATTTATGTAGAAAGATATCCGATAATTCTGCTTAGCAACGGTTTACTTTTACTATGTTTACTTTGGTTGCTATGGAGTTTTTTCATTCAAAATTATAATATTTTGCCGCAAACTCCCTCAATAGTACAAAGGCATTCCCCCTCCTGAAATATGCATCATCTTGCTCCGTTGCTCGATCTATGCCTCTAAAACCAACGCAATAAATAGCGTTTTGTTGAGCATTGCGTTATGGTGATTTTTGTCTAGTGCTAGTTTATTAAATTAATATTGTTATTATAAGAATATCAATTGAGCAGTATCGTGCGCGCATTGGAACACACAATTCTTTGCGTTTTTCCGCGGTGTTTATAATAGCAGTTCAAAACGTAAACAAAGTTCGCACATGCGCACAGGAGTGGACATCATCTTTAAAATTTGGTGAGTAGTTCATACCATGACCATATTAAATTAACCCCGATTCCATGCGTATGTCGTGAATTAATAATTACTTTCAGAAACATCTAACAATTAAGGACACCAGAAATAATGCGGCAATTATATATCTTCAGAAATCAGTTCTAAAACTACTAAGCTTGTAAGTAAGCATAATTATGTTTTCTCGTTTTCTATTTGTAGTTAATATATTTAAGTAAGATATTCCTTGGAAAATCCGTTAATCGTCATCAAGTATTCTATAAATAAAACCATAACAAATTTAATACGGTATCAAACTCATTAATAATTCATCAGGAAAATACAAAAGAAATGTTTGTACATGGTGTCCCAAAAAACCCCAAAACTAATGAAATAATATATTTTTAGAATTTGAATGCCTCGATCAGCAACTCTGCTGAACCCACACGTGCATCAAAGCTTGACGTAAGTAAATTTTATGCGTAAAGAAGCCGTTCAAGAAGCTGTTTTAAATTCCCAAGAGCAGAAAGTCGTGCGCTTTACAAAGATATTTTAATTTCTTAATAAGTCAATATTTAATATATGCATCCTTGTCAATATTTTACGCATCTTTCACGCATATTTCAATACGCATATATTTCAATAGTTTTGGGGTTTTTTGGACACCCTGTAGATCGGACAAAGATTTGTCCTGATTTACATAAACTTCAGCTTTGATTTTCTCGGCTTAGACCATGTAGTATTGCTAATCATTAGTATTTTTAACTCCTTAAATATTGGTTCGGTATGTTCAAAGTAAGAGTTAAACGTCATTAAACGAATAATCTTTTTCTGAATGTTTACTAATTTTTGTGTTCTATCTCTTTTTGTATGAATGTTACCCCATATTAGCTTACCGTAAATAAGATATTGATAGATCAACTAATGTATAATAAATTAATTTAAGAACTCTTTATAAAATGCCGGATCCTGGCAATGACTGCAGGTTGATTTTATAATTTTCTTTATGTATATATACCATTAACATTAACATTTGCTTGCTACCTTTTCAACATTTCCCGTGTATACACCATCGGCTTAACAATGTGAATGGGACGTTTTGCGCCACTTTTGGTAGTTCTTCCAATAGACATCCTTAGATAAAAGAATTGTTTTAAATTTATTGTTGCAAATATCCAACACAATATATGTGACAATATAATGCCATCCAAAGTAATCCAGACAATGCGATGCAATGCAATGCAATGCGATGTAGTACAGTGAAGCGGATGGAATAATCCAATAAAGTGCAATGTACATGTGATATAACGCAATGTAATGGAACACAGAGAGCTGACTATAGTGCAATAATAACATCTTATATTAACCAAGCGCGAGGTCTTTACAGTGAAATATCGGACCGAGGTCTTTTTGTACAGAACGAACCCGTAGGACGAGGTTTGTACAAAAAGACCGATGTCCGATATTTCTCTGTAAAGACCGAGCAAGCGTGGTTAATAAAAAGTTTATTATATGGCATTCAATGGCATTTACACTTGAAACAAACAAGAAATACATGATTTGAAATGCATATTAGTAGCGTGGTACACATTTGGTCGAAGAAAACAAAAATTACCAACGTATCCTTCCTTTCCACTTAAAACCATTCGCAGATATCTTATTAATAAAAAAATAATTTATTTTTCAGTTAGTTTTGCTGTTTTGTTTTAAAATACTTGTGTTTGTTTTTACGTAATGGACCGCCGCTCCATTACATAAAGTGCTTCTCGACCAATTACAGTGCGCAATTTCACCGGAAGTGATGTTTGCTATATAATAATACAATATAATACAGTGTAATGAAATAATAACAATGAAACATAAGAATAATACAACCGAATACAACACAATACAAACGGTGATTTAACCCAATGTAATATTTGCATGGTTATAAAGAAATGGAGGTAGGAATGCAATGTAGGCTTCCAAAGAAAAGAAATGTCGAGCGTAAAGTATGGTTGTGGGGTGCAGGGAAGTTGGAAAAAAGAATATTCGAAGAAAAATTCATGTTTTGAATATAGACTATATGTTTTGCCATGCATAAAACGTGATGAGAACAGAACTTTATTAATTTACTACATCATTATTGCGCGTATTTTTTAACAACACAAAAATAATAAAGTAACAAAAACTGTAATGGCAAAATAAAGAATACCTAGCTAGAACATGCTTGACATTACAAATGATTTTCGTTAATTTCCAGAAAAAGGATGATTTAATTAAGTTGCAAGGCACATGTTGCCCTATGCCCCACCCTCTCCAGCCCCTATACTCTAGCATTCTAATATAGGCTAGCATCCACGTTTAATTGATATGAAAATTTGTCATGCTTACTGCGTTACTCGTAGAAAAGTGCTCATCAACTTCTTCGCGTGAGCAGCACTCACGGTAGCATTCCTCGTCAATGTCAGGCCAGAACCATCTACGATATTTCTGAAAGTCCGTCGCCTTTTTGCGATCCAGTGTGACTTCGTCAATGACATCATTCAGCCGCGGGTCCTCTGAAAACAACTGAGATGCTAGTGCACGAATATATTTTTAAAAAACCAAGTATCCCATATACAATTTTTAAAGTACGTATTAATATTATAGAAGTGAACAAAATACATTTTGAATAACGATTTGAGTGACAGTGGGAAACTTGTATTAAGTTGTTGAATGTGCTTTCTAAATGAATGAATAATTTTTTATTTGATGCATGTCTTTCATGCATGCAAGTTATACGAATATGTTTTTGTATAACTGATATACATGTTTTCAAAAGCCGATTAGCTTAACCCTAGGTTAACTTAAAATTCAAAGCAAACTTCCTGACAGCTTGTCTATAAATGTGAAAATGTTTCTTCAGAAATTTTGTCTGGATCGATAGGAGTTCACTTTTAATTTAATGGTAAATCTTTGAAAAGTGTTCTGAGACGATAAACAGTATTTTTTCCTCACGATTCACGCTAAATTGTTTATGCTTTCACGACTGACGGTAACCGAAATTGAGTGAATCACGACTCACGATATACCCCATCAACACCTTCTTCCAAATGAGGCAGGGGCGGCGGAACAGGGGGGCTAGGGGGGCTAAAGCCCCCCCCCCTCCCGAAGTAAAAGTGGGGGGGCTTAGCCCCCCCAGAAAATTTGAATTTTTGGAAAAAATTTTGATAATTAGGGAAAAATTTAGGTTATTTTTTGAAAATTTAGGTATAAGGGGACAAATTTGCAATATTTTGTTTAAAAAAAGTGATATTTTGTTTTAAAAAAATTTTTGATATAAGTCCGAAAAATATTTTTGGTCCCTTTTTTGGTATATTGTACCCCTAAAGTGGTACACTGACCGAAATTTTTTTGGCGACGGGGGGAGGGGAGGTCGCCGAAAAAATTTAGCCC